CTTATGGTCCGAGGTTAGAAATTATCATGACTACTATGGTAGAGGACCTCGGACAAGGTGTGTATATTTAGGTACCCTTGACAACACGACCAAGTTGCGAAAACGAGGTAAAATCCCTTTTGTACAGCAAAAGGAGACTATGACTAGAATAGAGCCCAAACGAAGTTGATCTTCATATCTGCGGTTACTTACGAAGTATTTGGCAATCAGACCTTTATTAACTGTTAATTAAAACAGTTTTTTATAATCCTCAGGAGGAGTACGCTCGTGAGGAAAGAAAAGGCTGTGCGGGTTGTGCTCGGCTTGGAGATTGTCCAACAGGCTGCACTTTTGGTTTGCGAATGCGGTAAACCGATTAACACTTCTGCGATTTGTTGCTGGGTGGATCACAACCCAAAAGAGCCTCCTTTTCAATTAGCAGCCTATTCTTCTGTCCTCATTGAATGCAAGATATTTAGTTCTCATCCCAGGAGAGAGGAGTAGTTGATAGTACTGAGACAAATGTACTTTTACTTGAGGACTAAATTAATAGAAAATATTTGCCCTCGATGTTGTAACAGTCTCCTTTAATATTGAGAGTTGACTTGATGGCGTCTTTACAACTTGATCGTTTATTCAAGAGGACTTCGAGAAATGTACCCCGAGCTAAAAAAACCAAGGGGTGAGAAAGCAGTTAGAGATAGATTATTCGACGTCAGCCCGAATGCTCTACTGAGTAGCGAACGAGCGGTCAGTCTAATCATTCAGTTGAGCTTGAAATTATGATCATTTGATGTAATGTTACTTTACTTTTCATTTCGATTGGAAGGAATTCGTGAATTTGTATTGCCTTGGAGTAAATACAGTTATTTGGTGCGAATAAGTCCTCGGCATACCACCCTGAGACTTTGGTGAACCTTCACTAAGCTTACGTTTGTCATATGATCGACATCTTCATAGCAAGAAATTATACTTCAAATAGCCGAACATTATACTAAACCAACTAAGTATAATTGAATTCTCCGTCTATAATAGTAGATACCTCTTCACAGGAGGACATGATTCACACTAAGGATTGACACTTTTATTATGTTAAGCTTACTCTATGTCAGTCCAAAAATGTATCATTGTAAATGGCAATCAGCTCTCACCATAGTTTCACGAGGTCAAAATAGGACCCATTGTTTGCATGACATTTTTTTGCAGGAAAAATTTATTGGAAAATTTTTTTGAATTGCTCTCATTAGACACCAAAGGTTGATGATTGCCCTTAAGTGAAGAGTGTTGAATTTTATTAAAAAGTACTCGGTTCACCGTCCTGCGACCCCAATAAGCCTATGTTGGACGGTGAACCGAGGACTTCTTCGCACAATAAATCAGTCTTCATTACATTGATTTCCAGTGATTTACGTCCATCCAAATTTTTCTTCTAAAATAAAAGTCGAGTCATACTACTCTTGTAAGAAATCCTTCGAAATCCAGCTTTCCTTCATCCAATGCCCATTACTTGCTTAGTAGACGACGAACATTTGAAGACGCAATTAAGTGGGGCAGGACAGACTTTGCAGTTCGAAATGCATCTAGTCCGGCTCTAAGCCTCTCACTTTATCTTCGTTGAGCAGTCACTTATTCCTCTAAAATTATAATTAATGAATAAATATTAAGGCAACATTATACATATATATATATATATATATATATATATGAACCAGGAGTTTCATTTAGTGAGTTGGGAAAAAAAGGAAGAATGATGATATATTCGTTAACTTGGACACCCGATTGGCAATCTCCTTCCTTTCCCCCGGAATCGCACACGAGGGTAGAGAAAAGCCTCCTGGATGCCCAACCATCCTGACTTAGAGTGATAACTTGGTGAGTTGACTACAATCCACCTATTGCCCCGTTCCCGCACTCTTCTTCTCTTTCTTCCCTTATATTTCTCACTTAGTGGCACGCTTGCGGGGAGTTCCCAACGCGACGGAGACGAGCTACCCGAGACGGGTTCAGTAAGCTGTGAAAAATGGCAGGATTAGGCAGGCTCTAATCAAGTTAGCCAGTTTAGCCTCTTTCCCCCATCACCTGGGAGACATAGGCCATGCCACACGTCTTGTGTCTGCCGGCTAAAGGGAGCACAAATGCTAGTGACGAAAACGATATCCGCTTTGGCTTATGTATTCGTGCACATGTGGACCTTAGGTGGACGAATGAAGTGAAGAAACTGGCTTAGAGGAGGATGGTCCCAATAAGATATATGACGATGGAATGTTGTAGTAACGGAAGGCTGCCATGCAGAATTAGGAAAGAAGATGGATTTAGAAATTTGGCCAATCTCACCTGTCAAAAAATATTGCAAATAGTCAAGCGAATAACTGGGGAATTTTCCAGAAACCCTTATATAAACATTCAACACAGACTTGACAATTATTTATATTAATTATAGCATATAGTCCTACTACTTATGCAACTGTAAGTAGAGTTTATATGAGTATGGGTAAGTGCAAATTCATGTATTTTGCATGCTATCTGTTAGAGAAAAATTCCTGCATGGCTATGAAATATTAAGCTTTTGTCTCTTACTACCTTTAGTTGGGGCTATGGAATAGAAACTAATTAGTAATGGGATAGAATTTACAATACACACCGCTATAACCCAGTTTTCGGGAAGTGAAAAAAGTGATAAAGGATACGGATAAGCTTGTTGAAACTAAATAAAGATCTGAACCTGCTACGTTGAGGAGACTCCGAGTTGAAGTAGAAACTGACAGCCAGGCTGCCTTTCATTTTGAGGGTAGGAAGACAAAGGTGCCGTTACCTTTATTATGGTTGTGGTCTCCTCTCGTTGCATACGACTGGTGTGATCTCGTTTTTGCAACTTTGCATTTTAATCAGAGGAACCCACCTTGTCCGAATAATATAGTATCCATGATACATTCCTAGACATTGCACCGGCATCGTCAGTGAGCTTTGCTCCTCTTAGCACCAAATTACAACTCGTTGAAGAAACAAGTGAGGTCGATCCTTTGGTAATTAGTTTTCTGTGCAGCTGTGGTATCTCTCCTTCCGTACTGGTACGTTTATCTATTCTATATCCTCGTATC